AAAAAGAAATATGAATAATTTTAATCAGAACACATAGGTTCATTTTGATAATTCGATAGACTAGGTGAATTACATAATGGTCGAAGTATCATTGTTTTTGATGATGGTGAATCTTCCGGAACTGGTGTTGTATCCATTGAATCATCTTGACATGTATCTGTAGTAGCAGCTCGTTTAATACGTACTGTTGATGATAATGGTTTAGTATCATCTTTTTTAACAAGAATATTTTCTACTAAATCAACATAAGACATTAATTCATTGGCTTCATCAGCTTCAAATCCCTATAGAGAGAGAGAGAGAAAAAAAGTATAAATAAATAATTAATCTATAAAAAATTAAATAACAAACTTTTTCAATTGTTTGTTCAATAAGTTTTGTTAATAGATAACGAAGTTCATCTATATCAGTAACACAATCAACAATAAATTGTGGATCAGGTCCTTGAATTATTTCATTCGATTGTTGTTCTTCATCATATGCCATCAATACTTGTTGACATGAAGCAATTTCGGAATTAAGATAAGCAATTGTACTATCTAATTTAGTTATTGATCCAGATATTGGTGATGATATAACATTTTCCGATTGTTCTTCATCATTTTTATTCAAAACAATAGTCTTATTTAATCGTTTACAAAATCGTTCACGTTTACGACTGGCACGTTCACGATTATCTATTAATGTATTCATATCTCGATTGATACCAGCAATAAGTTTTCGGCGACGTATAGCATTTGTTATCTATAACAATGAGATAGAAAATGAAATTCATTAATTATTAACTAACATACGCCTTGTTGAATAGCAGCAAAATGTGCGGTCATTTCTTTCGTTGTTTTACGCATTCGTGCTGAACGCATTTGACGTCGTAATAAATGTACCTAGACAACAACAAAAAAATAGATTTCTGTGATTTGTTAATTATCAATGATTTTCATACCTCTTCTTGTTTACGTTTAAGAATCATTTCTTTTTGTTTATGTTTAGCACGTAATGATCGAATTTCATTATCTTTTTGCATTTGTGTCTAAGAAAAATGAATTTCATATCATCAAATTTCTTTGTAAAAAAACAAATTTACTCGTTTAAGTGTAGCAATTTCTCGTGCTTTTGCTTGTTCAGCTTGTTTATGTCGAAGAAATTCTTGTCGTAAATCACGTGTTAATTGAACTTTCATTTTACGTAAATCTTTTAATTCTTGTGTATGTTTAGTAAGTTCTTTTTTATAATATTCTCCATCTTTTAAACAAGCAGCATATTGTGCACGTAATGTGGATAATTCATTATTTTCAATTTCTAATCGACGAATTTTTCCTTCATAATCACGTCTTGCTAATTTTAATTCTTCAACATTATGTTGATCACGTGCAGCTGAATCTAAATTTGATTTTTTAGTAAATAAAATAGTATTAATAAAATAAAACTTTACTTAGTTTAGTAACAGCTGCTTGTTTTTCATCTTCAGCATTTTGTATACGTTCGGATAATGTTTTTATACGTTCTTCATAACGTTGACGTATTTCATCACTACGTTTACGTGCATTTTCAAGCATTTCAAGACATTTTTGTTTAGCATTGATTTCTGTTGTTATTATAACTAATTTTTCTTCTTGTACATCAGCTAAAATATAACAGAATAAAGAAAAAATTTGTGTTTTTTTTTCAAATTATAAAATACATTCAGTTTGTTCATCATCAACAGGCATTTGTCCTTGTTCATCTTCATCATCACTATTAACAATATTTTCTTGTTCATCAATATTTGGAGTATTTGTGCCATTATCGATTATATCGGCTAATGGATTTGTCGAAAGTGAATAGATAGTCTCAGATTTTTCTTGATCTTGATTTTCATGTGGTTCTTGTGGTGAACCAGGAATTGTTGAAAAACCAATACGATTCGATTTTGCTGAACCACTATAAATGAAATAGATTATAAATTTAATTTATTAATATATATACTAACGTTCGACGAAGTAATTGTTCTTCACGTCGAAGTCGATCAATTTCATCACGAATATCTTCAATACAAGGTTGTAAATCATCAGACGTAGCTGAACCTTGATTAAAATCAATTGTTAATGGTTGATCAGCTGAAAATGATCCTAAAATGGAAATAAATAATTGAACATTAGATTCGAACTTGAATACAATCCAAATCTCGTAGGATTCGCAGCTTCTACTTACTTGTTAGACGACTTTTACGACGACAAGATATTGGACTACGTTTTCGAAGTACATTGCTAACATCAATCATACGTGATAATCGAGATCTATTATATATACATGGATAATTATAAATAAAAATAAAATTTTGAAGTTTCTTACTGAATTTCATCGCTTTTAATTAAACATTGATTTAATGCTTGATTATAATCAAATGTTGTATCATTTATTTGTTGATGATCACGAACTGTTTCAAGATCTTGTTTTAATGTTTGTGATACAATATTTGTTTCATTAATTGAACGTTGTATTGTAAATATATATGAACGTATACGCTCAAGTTCTTGACTTAATGCACTATTATTTGCTTGATCAAATTCAATCTAAAATTATTTTATAGATAAAATAATTATTTTTTTGTATTTATTTATCTTACCGATGGAACATGTTCATTTTTATCTACTAATGCACGTAATCGTTCAATTTCCATTTGTAATTGTATGATTTGTCGACTATGTTTATCTTGATTAACTTTAACACGATTACGAATATTTCGGGCACGTTGAGCATAATTAAGTGTACTTTTTGTTTCCGAAAAATCACGATCAACTGGTGAAATACACGCAATCATTAATGTTCGACTAAGACATTAGAAAAAAATTACTAATTTTATTTTCTAAATAAATAATTCTTTTCCATTTACCTATTACCACCTAATGAATCTTGTAATAAACGAGTTAATTTCGAATCACGATAAGGTACATGTGCTGCTTTTTTCAATGGATCACCTAAGATTGATATAACATTACCAAGGACAAGCTAAAAAAGAGAAGTGATTAATTTTATTTTAAAGAAAAAAAGATTTCTTTTAAAAACGAACCAAACCACTATTGATACTAATGCCTTCTTTAGCACGTTGTCCTGTTGCACCTGTTCGTTTTAAACTTTCTGAACCAGCTAAATCAACAAAATGAATTTTAGCACGAATTTGTTCACGTATGCCTGGATTAGGTGTCTAAAAAAATAGAATTTATTATTCAATAGTTTTTAAATATATGTATATGACTTACAGATACCGACGGAACAACACGTTCAAATTGTAAATTAACAGTAAATATGGCGTGTGAACGACTTGACACACTGTTCATACGTGTTGATGCTGTTGTTCGACTAAGAGCACCTTCTTTCAAACAATCGAGCGTCTAAGAATTGAAAATAACTTTAGGTAATACTTAAAAATCCTAACAATTCGTATTAAAAAGATGAATATCAGCATTTAGGTATAGTTTTTCAAACAGATCATCGATTCCGAATACTATTCTTATTCTCATGCAATACTATGCGTATCAATTGAGACATAAACTATAACAATTATTGAGATAAATGAATTAACAAACCTCTGGTGCAGTTGTAACAAATCGTGTTGTAATATTAGTAACTGCTATTTCACCATTACTATTTTCAAATACAACATGTTTATCAGAATTTTTTTGTGAACGAAAATCTATATTTTCTTTATTGAATAAATCATAAATATTTTCATTATAAATCTATAAAATAAAATAAAATTTCTTCATCTTATTATTATTTTTTATAACTTACTTCAATAAATTGACATGAAACAACACATTTTGGTAGAGAAATTCCTTTCAATTCAGCTTCTTGTTCAATACTTGCACAACGTTGAAATATATGCATAATAGCACGAGGTAAAATACCTTCTTTTGATGGATCATCATATTCAATACCACTTCCCATTGTAAAAGTTTTACTAAATAATACAAAAAAAATAAATTAAATTTTCTTCCCCAAATAATAATTCAATTACCCAGAACCAGTTTGTCCATAAGCAAGTATTGATGCACTATAACCTTGAAAACATCCTTCAATCATATCGTAAACACATTCACGATAAACGTCATCTTGATTTGTTTCAGGTAAAAATACATGATCGAATGTAAATGCTGTACTATTAGCAAGAATAATTTCATTTGTTGTGCGTTGTACATCAACGCATGTTTGACATAAATCACATTCTTCATGTTTTGATAATGGACGAACACTTCAATAATTTTTTTATTATAAGAAAAAAACCTAATATATAAATCATTTCTAACTTACCGAACAGCTGCTTTGACACAACTAGCAATTTCTTTATTTGAATTTACTAATTCCATTAGATCGGATGCTGATATTCATGCGCACATGGGCGGCAAAAAAGAAAACGAAATGACAAGAGATAAAGAACTCATTTAGGACAAAGGATCTCGCTCGCGCGTTGTTGTCACTATAGGTCAACGATATAATTATGATTATTTTCTATTTTCAATTTAATAATTATTTAATTTTAATGTAAAGAAAATATATTAATATAAGAAATAAATAGAAAATCTAATAAGAGAATAGATGTCGCTTTATAGGATTTAATTTAAAAAAAATTTTGAAAAGAAATATTTTAAAAATTTTCATTGATATTATTTTAATTATTAATATGTAAAGACAATAAATGAAATATCTTTCGAGAAGTTTCACGATGCAACATTGGATAAGTTGATTTATTTAACCAATCGAAGGTTCTACAAAGAAAATGATGTAGCTCTCGACGAGAAAAGGAAAAGAATTATTTAATCTTTTTTTTCTTTCTTTTCTTCTATTACATTTCTTTTTTGCTAGTGTGTGTGTGTGTGTGTTGAGAAAGAGTAACACAGCAGCGCAATTGCATGATCATTTACAATAATTCTATTTTGACAAAAAACTCAAATAAATATATTTCTAGATTTTCTTAAATATTTAAATACACGTATAAATTTAGAAAATAATCTAATAAAAATATGGACAGTGACCAAGAGTCATCAGAAGTATGTGTAAAAAAAAATATTCAAATGAGAATCATTTATTGATATTTATTTTTGTCTATAGTGTCCATTGTGTTTGGAAGTACTCGAAGCTGATGATTTGAATTTCTTTCCATGTACATGTTGTTATCAAGTAATCATTTGATTTATTAGTATAGAATTCATTAAGAATGATTTATTTTTTTCTATAATATTAGATATGTCGATTTTGTTGGCATCGTATTCGAACAGATGAAAATGGATTATGTCCTGCTTGTCGAAAAGTACGAATTTTATTAAAATAAAGAAGTTCTAATCAAAAGTTTCTTATTTTAATTTTTTATAGCCATACAGTGAAAATCCGGCACAATTTAAACCACTAACTGATGAAGAGTACTTATCAATAACTGTTATTTTCATTGTAATTCTTTTATTTGATTTAGAATTCAACAAGTAAAACGTGATAGAAAATTAAAAGAATCTAATAAGAAACCAAAAATCACTGAAAGTCGAAAGCATTTGGCAAATCTTCGGTATAAATATATATATTTATATCGTATTATAATGAAGTTATTTTAATTTTATTCAGAGTCGTTCAACGTAATCTTGTATTTGTCAATGGTCTTCCATCACGTTTAGCTGATACTGAATTATTAAGACGAAATGATCATTTTGGTAAATATGGTAAAATAGTTAAATTAGTTACATCACCAGCACATAATGGACAATTAAATTCTATATGTGTCTATATAACATATTCACGTTCAGACGAAGCATTACGTGCCATACAAGCACTTTGTAATTATCATGTTGATGGTCGAACATTGAAAGCCACACTAGGTACAACTAAATATTGTAGTCGATATTTAAAAGGTGCATCATGTCAAAAAGCAGATTGTCTATACTTACATGAACCAGGTGATCCATTAGCTAGTTTTACTAAAGAACAAATGCAACAAGGGTATATAAATAATTTAATAATTCACACACAAAAAAAAAACAGAAAAATATATTCTAGTCTTCATCTTGAATATGAAAGAAAACTTATGGAACAGTATACAAATAAAACTGCATCCGGGCAAGCAAATACTACACCAAAGACTGGACGAACTATGACAAATGGGTATATTTTAAATTATTTGATTTTACTATTATTATTATTATTCATTTTTAGTAATAAAAATGATTCACCACAACGAAGAAAACATGCTAATCAAGCATCATCACTATTACCTACCACAAATTCTGCAATAACAACAAATGGACATTCAGATTTAGAATCAGGTGATGAAATACATCATCATTCATTAAATGGATATAATACAGAAGCATTTAACAGTGCAACTGCCATAAATGTTGATTCTGATACCACATCCACATCATCTCAAACATCATCTGAACATGAACCACAAATAGCACCATCAACAATTCAAACACAAACATATAATAATATATCTCCAACAACAACTTGGCCAGAAGAACGAACATCTTTTTATGCAACTAATAATCTCGCATCATCTCAAGCACCACTACCACAACTACCACCACCACCACCACCGCCGCCACCACCATCATCCACAACAACAACATCAAAATCCCTATCTCAAACATCAACATCTATGAATGTTCCTGTCACAGCTATTTTATGTTCACCAAAAAATACTAATAATAATCTATTAACAGAATCAACTAATAATAATACAGTGAAAAATTTTGATCAAGTACCTGAATATAAATTATTTAGTTCAAATATTCCATCTATACATAATCTTTTCTTTGGCAATAATGAAAATGGCCAACAATCTCATCGACCATTAATTAATGGAGTAGATCATGATGTGAGAGAAATTGAAAAAAGATTAATGGGTATAATATAATATTAAATAAAAAGAGTTAATTTTATATTTTCTTTTTTCAATAGAAAATGGTCTTAATAATGGTGATACATCTTATTCTCAAACACAAGAAAATGATGAGCTTGGTAAATGTTTTTCTTTACTCTCCTGTTTATTTATAATTTGAATTTCTTTATTGTAGGTTTTGATCCATGTAGTTTATTTATGTCTGCACTTGCATCTGATATTGAAGATGAACGACGACCATTACCATCCGCACTATCATATCGTCCGACAACTAATTCATATAATTATTCGTCACAATATACACCGTCAACGAATCCATCTATTGGACAGATAAATCCAGCTTGGTTAATGCAACAACAACATTATCAAACATACCATGATCAACAACAACAGCAACAGCAGCAGCAGCAACAAACAACGCTACATAGTAATGGTACAACACCACAAAAACAACCACAACAACAGCAGCAACAACAGCAACAACAACGATATCCTATACCATTCAGTAAGAAAATAGTTGAATTTCTATCATATGAACTATTTCTATCTATATATTTCTTTCATTAGATGGATCATCACCAAGACAATTGTGGAATGGCAATCAACAACAATCACAATATGTACCACAAATATCAACGCGTTTAGATTTTACAAATCAAATTCAACAACGACTTCCACCAAGACAATCATCATCACCATCACCACAATATTCTCAGTCAATCAGTAATAATAATAATAACAATAACAACAATACTTATTCTTCTAATAGTACAGTGACCACAAATAATCGTAAGATTTAAATATATCTATATTCATATAAAAATGTTACTTATTTTCTCTCTTTCTCAATATATATATAATAGTATCAAATGATCGATGGATGAATTTACCATGGACAGATCCAGCTATAATATCATTCGGGAATAAACTTGATACAACATCATCACCACAATGGTCCACAACTACGCAATCACAAGGATCTTCCACATTATCCTCAGGAAATAATCTCATACCAACACCTCGTTGGTCACAGCAACAGCAGCAACAACAACAACAGCAGCAGCAGCAATCGACACAATCCCAATCACATATGATTACCAATGGAATTTATTCACCATATTCAACAACATCAGGTGTCGATAGTGGAAATCGTTCTTAAATTAAACAGTTGATCACATGCATATAAACACACATTTAAAAAAAGTCTTATTTTTTCTGTCTATGCGCTCCGTGCCCGGATGATGGTCTTTTCTTCATTTTTTTTCTCTTGTACTCCTTTTTTTTTGCTCGTTTGTTTTCTCTATCTTTATCTCTCGTTGTCGTTTATCATATATACATATATATACATACATAGAAAAACATCTTATTTATAATGAAATATTATTTAGACGAACCAAAAAAAAAAATTTAGACAAAAAAAAAGAGAAAAAAAAATATAATCAAACCAAATTAAATGAAGAAGAATGGCATTGATAACATAATTTGAGAATTATATTGATATGATAATAAAGCTAAGCTTCTATTGCATATAAGATTCAACAACATCAATATACATATATATATTTTTGTTTTGTTTTTGTCTTTTTATTCTAATTATTAAATGTTTATTGTCATATGTTCTTTTCTTTTCTTTTCTTTTTCATTTACACCTTTTCTGCTCGTTTGCTATATTCGTTGTTGTGAGTTTCTCTCTCTCTCTATTCTCGCTTGTTTTGTTGTTTCGTATGCATGTATAAATTGCATATGTAACTATAATTCAAACCTTTTGTCGAGATAATTAATTATCACATTTATATATATATTTATATATATAATAGAAAAACAAAATAACTCAGAATAAGTTTCAAAATAATATTGTTTTTAATATTTACACACTATCTAAAGACAAAATAAAACTAAAGAACTTATTTCGATTTTGTTATTGACAAATTGAAAAGAAATTTTTGTTCTTAAGTTTTATTTCTTTGCCAACATTTATTTGAACGTTAACAACAAAAAAAGAAAAGTAAAAAGTATGGTAACATTGTTGATGTTTTCATTACTGATTGTGATGCTTTACTTTCTCGTGCTCTCTTTTCTTTCTCTCTCTCTGTCTCTTCTCACAATCCATTAAGTATTCTAAGAGAGACGTCAAATAAAACAACAAAAACGCTCGTGAAATGGATGCAAACATGTCTCTTAGTGAACCAACATTTTCATTCATTGATCGTAAACGATACGAAGCAAAATGTGAACGTGAGCGTTTAAGAGGTTCATTACCATCGGGTACTTATGTATCACCACCAGATGATCCATGGTTTCCACGCCCCATTGATTATACTATGGTTAATTTTCATCCAAATCGAAAGAAAATAACTCGAACATTATCAGTTCAAGATCTTGCAGCAAAACAACCACGACAAAAATTTCGTGATCCTTTTAATCCAGCTGTAATGAAACCATTTGAAGTACCACATGAAAATCATTTCACTAAATCAAAACATTCACTTGATGGTCGTGATAAGTTTTTACTTGATCCAAGACTTAAATATGAGAAAGTAAAACGAATGTTAAATACAGAACCTTATCAAATGCCTAAACCACATGATTTTCGACAGGTAATTATTATTATTATTTATTAGAATTTATTATTCTAAATTCTGTTCATTTAAAATAGTATCCAGATATGAAAGATTTAGATCAACCAGAATTTGAAACTAAATATGATCATGATCCGGGTAATATTCGATTTTTTACTGAACATTTAAATACTTGTAAGTTTATTTTTTATGATTATTAAAATTATATATTTTTTTTTGTCATTCAAGTATGGCTTCAAGAACGTGAAAATGAACGTGTGCCTATAATCAAAAATTCCATACCGGAAATGTATCGGAATTTAACAGCAAAACCAAAATTTGATGCCAAATTAATTCTACCTAAAGTTACTTATCCAAATAAAACTGTTAATTTTAGTGTAAGTAAATTTTTCTTTTCATTTTTTCATTAAAAATATTTCATATAAATAGCGTTATCGAAATTCAACACGTTCGGTGCAAAGTGCCTATTGGGAGCGAGTAGAAGATCATTTCAATGAACGACAAAATAAACAACGCTTAGAAATTATTTAATAATACAAAATATCATATTGATTTTTATTTCTTTCCTATATATATATACAAACATTTATTCATGTGACGATAACAACAAAAGAATAATGAAACTATCGAAAAATCATACGACCAGTTTTACCATAGAGAGCTAGAGAGAGAGAAAAAAAAACATTTTATTTTTTATATTTAATATAAAAATACAAACCTAATGAACTACCATCTGGTGTTTCAGGCATACCAATTGCTTTAGCATAATTACTTGAATACCAACTGAATAAATACAATATATATATCGATGAATTTTTTGTTTAATTTAAATCTACTTACATACTCAATGATTCCGTTGCTAGAATAGTTCGAACAACTTTAGCATAGAGTTTACATTTACGTTGAAATAATAAACAATTTATTTCTTGTGATGTTCTTGCTGGTGGAATTAAACAACACCAATTATTTTTACGTTCATCTTGTGCATCTAGTACAAGATTATTACCATTTTCACGAAATATCTATGAATAAAAAAAATTCAATATGATATTTGTTGAATATATACGTGTTTTTTTGCCAAAATACTTTAACAAGAAATCCATTGCGTGGTGTTATTGTTAGTTTATCTTCGGGTATAAAACGACCTTCGAATGGACCGATAATAGTCGTTTTTAGAATACGTATTGTTGGTGAAAATGTTATTGTATCATCACAACGACGCATTTGAATATGAGTTGGTAATGATAGTAAAACTCTATTAAAATTAAAATTTATTTAAACATATGATAGATAATCATTTGAAATAAAAAAATGAGTCATAGTTTACAATCAATCACATGATGTTTTTTATAGTATTGACACTGACAAGGTAAGATTATCCTGACTTATTTTGGTTTCAAATCGAAAATAAAAATAGGTTCATCAATCTATCAGAATTCCTTATGAATTAGGAACAATTAGAATAATCGTCATTCAAAATTCTTTTGATGCATATTATAGTGAGTTTCTTAAAAGTTTTTCATGTATAATTAATATCTATTAATCTTGAATTAGTACAATGTTTGCAGGTGTTTTGTAAAGTAATCTAGATAGAAAAGTCTTATACAATTTAAATCAGATTCTAGTTCTTTAATTGACTGCAATAATTAATTATTGCCTTAACCTAGATGGATTGTAGAATTCCCCAAATATACACAAGCAGATGAGATCGAATGATAATTGCTTTCTTATACTATGACCCATACTATACGACATGACATTATTTGTTATGAAATCTAATCTACTTTATTCTTATCTTTAAAGTTATTAATATACATTATTTATTTATGAGATATCAACTATAGAATCTTATCTATGAATTGTTTTTTTCATACTTTGAAAGATTTCGAGTTAATGTTGATGATGGTTTTTTTTCTATTCCATTCATTTTTGATGATGATACAAAATCCGAACAATCATCTTCTGCATGATTATTAAAACAAATAATACATATCATCGACATTTTTCTTTCTGAAAGTTCTAAAAATAAAATTAGAAAAAAGTCGCTTTCGTTGATTCATTTAAATCAAAATGATTCTATTGAATTTTATTTATTCAATTGAATAGGAAAATAACATATATACATCAAAAAAAGAAACAAAACAAAATCATGAACATTTTTCATAAAATAAAAGATAACAATTTTCGGTAACATATGATGTTTGAAAAAAGTTATTAATTTGATTAATTTCTGTTATACGTTCATCATCACATAGAAACCATCGATTATGATCTGCACGATATAGACAAACACAATGTCCTTGAATACTCGGTGTAAAATTTGTAGAAGAATTTTCTGATAAATGCAAACAAATAGCTATTAAACGATAATGATAAGTATTTGATAGATTCGTTAAGCCAAGCCATGTTGTATAATGAAGATGTGAAAGATCAAGAATTTTTTCAGGTTCAATTATAATTGATGTATTTAATTTAATTCCTGTTTGTGAAAGACGATCATATGAAAAACGTTTTAATTGAATAGATAGAATATCAGGAAAATTTGCAATCATTGTCTGTTTTTTTATTTTATAATTAAGATGAGTTTTTGTTAATGGAATAATATTATTAACAGAAGCTAAAAATTATCATAATAATAAATAATAGAATTAATTGAAAAATCTAGCATACATGATATAGGTGTTGATGCAAATATTTGATCAGAAAATTGACGACGAGATGTAATTATAGGTGATAATGGAGTTCTAAAAGAAACGGATAATTTTTTTATGATACAATAATAACAAGTAACGCTCATCCAAGGACTCGCTTAGCTCCTTCTCCTAGAAAAATCGGTCTTCGATGTTTTTTTGACCTATCCCCTCACCACGGTCACCCACCAGACCTCAGAGTCGAACTCCCCGCATCGAAATACTACTAGAAATGTCTTTTTCGAAAAATCGGTCTTCGATGTTTTTTTGACCCTACGGACACACAAGCAGTTTATGTTTACTGGACTCTTTTCTACGAGAAAGAGAATAATACATACGGTATTGGATTTAGAAGAGGAGTATGTTTAAGTCCTATGTTATGATCATTGAAGCAATGTGAACATGATGTTGAATCAATCTATACGAATAGATTAAAAATAAAAATGAACGATTGAATTTTTTTAATAAATCTTTCACATACCATTTCAATTTTTGTTAATTGTGAAAGAATTTTTTCTAATGTTGTATTAGTTTTATTAACTGGTAAAATTAATATTTGAAATGGTTCTGTACGAAAACGAACATGAGAACAACTAAAATAATATTAATCAATTAATAATAATAAAAAGAAAATCGAATATTTAGAATTTTTATTACTTATTACAACAATGTGCATGAAGAATTTGACCAGAGAATGTATGTTTTATTAATGAACCAAGTTGTATATGATGTAATAACCAAGTAAGATCAACATATTGAATTATACATGATGTTTGTGTATCGAGATTATCTAATGTTATTGTATCATGCAGCTAAAAAGAAGAAAAAAAGAAATTCTTTGTATTCATCATCATCATATTCTATATTATCTACTTGTGCTTCTGTTTCTGCAAATAATTTATTTAGATAATCAAGAGAAAATGTTGTTAACTTCGAATTTTGTACTTGTTCAATAACACTAAATAGATAAATCGAAATTATTTATTAAGAGAAAAAATTAAAAAATATTCTTTTACTTAGTTGAATAGAGAGATGATTGTTTTGAGAGAGATTCATTTAATACATCAATAATACATTGAAATAATTCGCAAATATCTGTTGTTGTTTTTTGTGTTAATAAATTTGGATAAGTTAAATTTAACTTCGAAATAAATTCCGATGTATCAATAAGTGTATTCCAATGTTTATATTCTGATGTACGATGATCATTTCGTAATTGTGAAATAAGATCAACAAATGTAAGTACGACTGGATCATAATTATAACGTGATATCTATATGAAAATTCAAAAGAATTAAGTTTTCAATATTTAAATCTATCCTACATTTATATTTCGTTGTAATGATAAATAAAAACCATTGAGTGATGCTAAGCTTTGCAACAAAGCATTTAATGAACATGTTGTACCATGTAGATTAAAAATACCCGGTCTTGGTAATGTTTGAAGAAATGATGACTACAAAAAAGAAATGAAATAATATAAATATATAAATAAATTTCTACTTGTTGAAGTCGAAGATCATTTGTTGGTTTAAGATGATAATTATATAGATATTCTTTTGGTATATTCTTTCTTTCGGATACTTTTGAATTAGATCGATAAAAGATTAAATTTATTATCCAATTAAATAAATTTCGAACTATTTCTTTTATAGTACCAAGATTTTTTTCCGAATAAAGCGTACCAATAATATGAATTAATAGAAAAATTATTAATACATATGGTATATAATAATAGAATGATATAAAACCAATTAAAAAACCCAAAAACATACATTCATATAATAATATATCAAAACGTTTTTCTTTTCTAAATCAAAAAAACAGATTTGATTATTGAAAATTTCGAGAAAAATAATCATACCGATTATGAACAACAATAAATTTTGTAATATTATCAATAATTAAATAAATAACAAAATCATAGAAGATATTGATTGGATTTAATATAAACCACATTATTGATAATATTATTTTTAAAAAAACCACAATATAATTTTAACAATTTTTTTCTTTCCTTTTTCTTTACGAAACAAAGAATGAACAACGTAAATAATTCGTTCATTATCGAACCAATGAAATTTATCGAAATGTGCATATTTATATATACATAGTGGATAATAGTTTGTCCATTTTTTATTGAAATTCATATTAAAGAAGTTAAACATGTTTCATCTCCAAAAATCGATTCAATTAGCAACAGGTGTTCGAGCTTTTCATGCATCGAAACCTTTATTTTTATTTGGTAGCGGTGTTATTAAAGTAGAAGAGGAAAAAAATATTCTTTCGTATTAAAAAAGTTATTGTTTTCATGTAGGAAGGTGCTACTTTACCAAATCATACACTTTTTGAAAATACACCAAAGAATAAAGTGAATACTAAAGATCTTTTTGCTGGCAAAAAAGGAAGTAAGTAAATTATTAATTTATTTTCTGTGCTAATCTTATTCATATTTAGTTTTATTTGGTGTTCCGGGTGCATGTAAGTTTATATTTCTATTCAATTTTAAAATAATTCTTAGTTTTTTTCCTCTTACGACTTAGTCACTCCCGGTTGTTCTAAAGTATGATATTGTATATGTGTATGTTTATTGAATAATTCATTGAGTATTTTAGACACATTTACCTGGTTATGTTGATTCAGCAAAGGATTTTAAAAAACTTGGTTATGATACAATTGTTTGTGTTACAGTTAATGATCCATTTGTATGTGAAGCTTGGGCAAAAGAACATAAAGCTGATGGACAAGTAAGAAAATAGATTTAAATTCTATATATATTGTTGATATTTTAAAATTAATTTCAGGTACGAGTCTTAGCTGATCCCGATGCTAAATTTACTAAGGTAAAAACAACGAAAAAGGAAAAACAGAATTATTTCATTCATTGGTATTTTTAGGCTCTCGGTCTTGAAAAAGATATGACTGCTGTATTAGGCAATGTTCGATCATCACGGTATGTCTATTTCAAAAATTGAATTATAATAATCATTTTTTTCATAGATATGCAATGGTTGTTGATGATAATAAAGTTAAGAAATTATTTGTTGAACCAGATGGTACAGGTTTAACATGTTCACTTTCAAAGAATTTAATTGACAGTATCAAGAAAGGTGATTTGGCCAAATAGTTATCTTATGACACTATCACATATTAACTATCTACTATTCTTTTTATTTCTTTTTCCTTTATCATTTATATCTGTGCACGTTTTTCTATCATTTTGATAATAATAAATAAAGATCATATGCGTGTACACATCCATATACATACTATTATATATATATAAATAGAAAAGAAAAGAAAGAGAATGATTAACGTCAGTTTACAAATAAAATTCTTTTATATATTTTTAGATTTATAATCATGGAAGATTTTGATATGGATGCCGACGATAATATGGAACAAGAAAATGATAAATCTCCAAAGAAAAAACCTCATCAACCATCTGGCATTGCAATTGATGCACTTGCTGGTTTACTTGATAGTTATTCATCAGCAGAAACGAAAGTAAGATAATTATATAACATACATTAAATATTTTCTTTTATATAGAATTCTCGTCGTTCAGCTATACCAATACCTTTACAACAACAACAAGGAAGTCATTCATTATCATCAACAACAATTGCTACTCCTGTACGTGCAACAAATATTACTCAACAAGTTAGTACACCAAATGTAGCAACATTTCAAGCTCGATTAAATAAAGAAGAAACTATTGTTGAACATATTGGAAATAAATCAAATAATAAAGATAAAACTGAAAGAAAAAAATTACCTTCAATACAATTTCAATCTTTAGTTAAACCTTATAAATATATGTATCAAACAATATATAAACGTGCTAATGGTGGTTACTATATTAATGTTAAAATTCAAATCATAATCTATTGTTTTATTTAGCACTTAATAAACAAATAGAAGAATTTGAAGATTTATTTCTAACTATGATTAATAATAAAGAAAATGAAAAATCAAATATTGTTCTTTATCCAGTTGGAAATGCTGTTCAAGTAAATATTTTATATATTTATATTTTCACATATCCATGTAATGATTAATTAGGATGAAGTTCAACTTGTTGGTCGTATTGTATGTGATTCAGCTGGTCAATTAAATGCTCAATCAATAACACTTGAAGGTTCATCTCGAACATCGAAATGTAATCGTGTTCGACTAGATGTTTCATCTTTACCTAGTTATTCATTGTTTCCTGGACAAGTAAATACGCTATATCATTAAAAGTTTATTATAAATTATTCTGTAAATATATAGATTATATTTGTTTCTGGTATTTATACAAATGATGGATTTTTTCATGCAAAACAATTAACAAATGTAAACAAAACACAAAAGATTAAATTTCTAAGATAAAAATGTATTAATTTTATTTAGTTACCATTAGTTCCACATCCAATTGAAACAAAAATATCAAATGATATATCTTTTATGATTGCTGCTGGTCCATTTCTACTTGCAAATGGAAATTTAAGTGCATTCGAAGAACTTCTTAAACGAGCAGAAGAAGATTTATCAATACAATCATTAATTTTGGTATTTATTTTTACTTATGAACATTCTTCTTTTTTTTTAAACATACAAATTCTTCTAGATTGGCCCATTTATTGATGAACGTTCATCATATGTACAAAATTTACAGGACAAAACTTATGAACAATTATTTAATGAATTATTAGAAAAAATCAAAAGGTACTATTTCTCATTATACTACAAAATCAAGAGAAAATAATCGATTTTGTATTAATTTTAGTTTTCGTGTAAAAACAATTCTTATTCCATCATTACGCGATATTCATCATGATTCAATTTATCCTTTAAGTCCATTTATAAATAATGAAAATAAAGATTCAGTATGTTAAAATAATTAATTTAAATAATTGAATAATTTCTTTTTATTTCTTAGACAATTATTTATGGTTGTGAACCATCTATTCTATCATTTGATGATCTTCAATGTGCAATAACATCAACAGATATTCTCTGTCATTTAAGTTCAGAAGAAATTAGTTTGTAAGTTTATTTAAATATATATATTAACTTTTCTTTTTTTTCTATTCATAGAAATCAAACAACAGATCGAATGAGTCGATTAATTCGTCATTTATTTCAACAAAAATCGTATGTTTTTGGAAAACTAATAATCTGCAATTAATTATTTTATTTAATAAATAGTTTCTATCCATTGATTCCGCCTAATGAATCAGTTTCTATTGAATATGATCAAGCATTTGAATATGCAAAAATTGATACATTACCTCATTTATTTATTACTTCATCTGATCTTCGACCATTTATTAAGGTATGAGAAGAAAATGAAGGAATTTATTTTTAATTCTATTTTATTCAAAATAGTTTATTGATTCAGTATGTGCAATAAATATTGGTCGATTAGTTAAAAATCAAGATTCAACAATGATTAATAATGCAAGTGGAACATATGCAAAAATATTTCTTAATAAAACTTCTGATGATATTAATAATGGTACTATTTTAAATGATCATTTACATATTCAGATACTTCGATTATAATTTCATATATATATATACATTCTTGTTATTGTCAGATATTATTTTTCTTTTGTTATCATATTGTGTATTGAATAAAAAAAATGTTTTTTGATTAAAAAACAGTATGACTTATTTATCTAGAAGAACCACAATTACAATCTACTCTTCTCAACTTTTTCTTCTCAGCCATCGATCGTATTGTTATTGAAGTAAAAAAAAATGTAATAATTGAAAAATGCACAATTGAATATTCTGATGCGCTTCATCTTCAGAGTATGGGTGTAAGAGAATGAATTCAATACACACACCCTGAAATACTATTATTTTTCTGATTTTCTACTCAAAACTCCATCACTTCGCTTCAATTTTCAGTTTATTTTAAGCTTTCCTTCTTTTTTATATTTTAACCTTTTCTTTCATATCGACAGCCTTGATCGGGATTTTGATTTAAATAAATTTAACAAAACCCGTCGATGAACAGAATTGTATATTTAATTAATTATTTTATAAGCACACCTTACAGCAAGAGCTCAGTATTCTGCATAAGCTAGATTACTGAAAAGCAAAAGTACACATTACTAGATTAAAGTTGTCCATTTGCTACAAGATAGACTAGTAAGTTTTTGATGGATTCCACACCCACACAGATCCTTATAATACCACTCTGTTATTCTGTAGTGCATCACCGAGATATTGTGCTCCTTCATCTCCGATTGCGTTCAACGAGAGATTCAGTGTGGTAAGTGTCTGTATGAGAGAGGACATATAGTTAATGTGAAATAGTTGAAGAGTGAGTGACTACTACTGTGTTATTTCGTAGTGCATCGCCGAAATGTTGTGCTCCTTCATTTCCGATTCTGTTGCATCCTAGATCTAGTCTGGTGAGTGTCTATATGAGAAAGTATAAATAGTTAAGGTGAAACAGGTGAAGAGTAAATGTTTGTTACTGTGTTAATTCGTAGTGCTTCACCGAGATGTTGTGCTCCTTCAGCTCCGATTCCGTTGTTGAAGAGATTCAGTGTGGTGAGTGTCTATATGAGAAAGTACAAATAGTTAATGTGAAATAGGCGAAGAGTGAATGAGTATTACTGTGTTAATTTGTAGTGCATCGCTCAAATATTGTACTCCTTCATCACCGATGGCGTTCAACGAGAGATGGAGTGTGGTGAGTGCCTGTATAAGAAAGTACAAGTAGTTAATGTGAAATACGTGAAGAGTGAATGTCTGTTACTGTGTTAATTAGTAGTACATCACCAAGATGTTGTGCTCCTTTATCTCCGATTTTGTTTTGCTGGAGATTCAGATTGGTGAGTGTCTGTATGAAAGAGGACAGATAGTAATGTGAAACAGGTGAAGAGTGAATAAATATAACAGTATTAATTAGTAGTGCTTCACCAAGATGTTGTGCTCCCTCAGCTCCGATTCCGCTGCTATGGAGAATCAGTGTGGTGAGCGCCTGTATGATAAAGTACAAATAGTTATGCGAAACAGGTAAACAATGAATGAACATCACGGTATTAATTCGTAGCGCATCGCCAAGATGTTGTGCTCCTTTCGCTCCGATTGCGTTCCACGAGAGATTCAATGTGGTAAGTGTCTGTATCAGAGAGGGCAGATAGTTAATGTGAAATATGTGACGAGTGAATTAATATTACTGTGTTATTTCGTAGTGCATCCCCGATATGTTGTGCTCTTTTCATTCCGATTCTGTTGTACGAGAGATTGAGTGTGGTGAGTGTCTGTATCGTGTTTTTTGTAAATGGATATGAAATAGGATTTCAGAATGGTTATGTTCTTGCGTAGTGTTCTCAGTCGGTGTTCTGATGATATGGATCGGAGATCATATTCGTTCTATGTGTATTTTTTACTGATTGAGAGGAACTGAAAGTTTTCAATGGTAGAGGATGAAAGGTGCTAGGTATTTGTCAAGAATGCACAGAAATTCTCATCGTGGTCTCAGAATGTTATTGTCATGGGAAGAGGATTAAATCGAAGTGAAGGCTTATTTGCCACTCTCGAACAATTTCACTAGCTATTCACTGGTATGTCTATGTCCGTCCACACTAAATACAAAAATGGCCTGAATCGAAATCAAATAGTATTTCACAGATTGCATCGAAGTCGAAGCCTTTTTCTGAGGTTTCGTAGTTTTTTCACGAAATCTTCAAAAGGGTCTTCAGTTGGTACTAAACCTTCAAGGAAGCTTCGATTTCTTTGCAAGACTGGCTATGTATGCCATCTGAAATACTCTAAATGGCATTACACTTACACAGCTATGTCCTCTAAGTTCTCATCGAACTTTGCGTACCACTCCTCCTACTTTAGATTGGAGTGAAGTTTTGGGCCAGCTGGTTCCCTTTCTGAAGTACTTTTAGTGTAGTTTCATCCATAGTCAAAGCGGCACTCATCCACATCTGTTACAACTTTCACTAACGTAAGTATCATCTAACGAGTAACTGAAAAAATGAAGGAGCATGAGAACGAATATTTGTTCGGGTATCATCTTGAGGCATAATTCTCTTATGTGTAGATGAGATAATGACTAATAGATCAGCCTATCTGACTATAGCTTCGTTGTCTACTGTTGTATCATGCGTATCGGTCGTAAGGGTGTGGAATAACTGGAGGTTTCATGAACATTAGCAGGATATAATAAGAAAAAGCGTTACCTGATATCGATCGTAGGTGTCAACGATTTGGTTGAGTCGCTGGCACACATTTCGCATAGAAAACAGCATAGTGATGTCACTCTGATGGTCTAAAATTCGGTAGATCAGATCTACCGGTAATGTAATCAAACTTGCCATAATTTTGTTTGTCTCTGATAGAAACTGTTGAAATTTGTGGTGTGTTGTTGCTATTTTTTCTTCTCTTGAAATGCGTATTTACTTCACGTGCGTTGTATTTTACTTCTGATGGTGCAATTATGCATTTGAAGAAAGAAACGTCGAAGAAAAAAATCGACGACAGAATGTTCTGCTTGTACCAATAGGTAGAAGTAACGTCTTGATTGATTGAAGTTTAGTAATGCGATGGTGTATGAGAAATGTGAAAATGTGATACTCCTGGTCACAACCAGCGATATTCACTTGGTTACTAAACAAAGCGATAGAAAAAAACTATGCTTGCACATACTCGTTGTTCTTTTATTAAAGGAATCTTAAAAGAACAAAAAAAAACACTTTCTTATTGAATAATTGTGCATCGCCATTTGCTAGTGTCTCTCAGTATCATATGTATGGTGCCCACTTTAAAAAGTCAAACGAATTGAGAGAAAACATGAACGCTATTATAGAAGCACACAAAATCATGTCATGGCAACCCACTTTAGCCGCAAGTAGAAAATACATGTTTTAAATGTATAATATTCTCTTTTTCGTAGTATTCTTAGCATACTCTTTTCGAATATGAGACTTGTTGTTCAAACGAATTCATTTCAGTCTATGAAATAATTTATTTTATAACAAATTGAAGTTATCGTGTGAGACTAGTTGACTTATTCTATAGAATTAGTCGATTATTTTGATCGAGACATTTTTATTCGCAGAAGCAGCACACTTGAAAAAGAAGCGTATATCAAAGTACTTAGAAATATATCAAATTCTGTTTAAATGTCCTTAGATATTTGAGATGATATGAAACATAATTGAGGGTGTGGGTATGCTATTCGTCTGTCACACATCCAACACTCATTGGACCGTATTATAATAGTGTCCCAAATGCTATCGATAGAAACTCAAGGTACCACTAAAGACACTTTTATAACAATCCAAAGTTTATCACAGTTAACATAGGAACCAATAACTAATGGATGCTGATTTATTTTCGTTTTTTGGTCAATAAAGACGGTGAAGCATATATGTTTTATTGTGCTACAGAACAAGCTTGTGTTCGTATCCAATGAGTTGAATCAACAAATGGTGAAACAACATTAATGGATTGAAAACTTTGCATTTTTTTTTTTATTTTTCAATTCGTTGTGCACGGCCTTCATAGTTATGCAGATAAACGAGCAAACAAACAAGCATACTGTAATGTAAGGCAGTATTGTGTGTACATAGCAGCATTTGTTTTTTGTTAAAATACATGAAGGCAGAACAGAAAAAAAATCGATTTCACATCAACTATAGCACAGATTGAAAAAATCTTAATGCACAAAGGTAGTAATAATAAACCATCAAGTTTTACCAACTTTAGAAATACTATAAAACGGAAGTATCTTAGTAGTGTATAATTGCATTGATATTAGTTTATTAAGATCTTGTCTCTTTCATAAAGGACACGTAGGAAATGTTATGTCTATTTCGTCTAGATCCATCACTGTAAAAAAAAAGATAGTACAATAATGAATCCCTATTTTCTTGTATGCACATCCTCATAAACCCTTTCAAATACTGTTTTTCTACCAAAATTGCACAAAGACTATTCCATACGTTGCACCATATTGAGGGTGTGGAAGAAAGAAAATAACCATCATCACACCCACACCCACCCTATTTATACGTACATAACAGCATAACAATCAATATAATTATAACTAGTCGTGATCGAATATCATCTTGTATATAATTATATATAATTTTTTGAAATTGCGCACTTTGCATCGTCGTCAAATGCTGCATTCTATTACAGTAGTTAAGAATACATTATTTACTTTATTGACTCTGTATTACTGATTAGCTTCCAAACTATGATTTGTTTCTTCTAATACTACGCACTATCGTTTGCGAAATTATAAAAAATCTTGAATAGTATCCTCCTGTATCAAGTGGTTCTTTCGCTACTGCGTAGTTAAATATTAATTTGCATAGATTTGCTTGAAAAATTTCAAAAGTATATAATTACCATACGTTTCATTCTAATATATTTGATGAGGATAAATTATTTAATCCATTGATTTTGTATCGATGATTAGCTTCCGAATGATGATTTTTTTTCTTCTACTACTACGCACAATCGTTTGCGAACTTATAAATAATCATCAATTGTATCCTGCTCTCTGTATATAACTGCTTAGCTTGATCAATATTTGTCTACGATTTGCTGAGATGTCAAACAAAAGCTTTGTACACGTTCTCATACTCACTGTCTGTTTCACGACTTTCATTGTTGGTTGGGGTCGACCTTCAACAGAAGTCTCAACGTCCGTTAATAAACTACAAGATCGCAATCTTGTAATGTTTGGTTTGATGGTATCCATCACTAGCGAGCGTAATCCATTGTCATACAACAATTATGGCTGCCAGTGAGTATTGATATATACAAACGATATTTTTCCTAGTTTCCTCGTTAGAAGTCTAAATGTAGTCTATGTATAAAAGTTGTATAGACATTTAGTATATCTTCTATTTAAAACTTGAGGGTGGGTGTGGGTGTTCTCTTTACCTAAACCCTTACCCACATGCATCCTCACTTTTAACTCTGTTATGTTTTGTATTTTGCCTGCCATGTGTTTGATTTCATAAATTTCATATGTAGTGTCAGCAAATACAATTATGTTTTCTCATTGATCTTTTTAGCTGTGGTATAGGAAGCAAGGGGCCAAAGGTTGTTGACGAGCTTGATCGTTGTTGCGTGAATCATGACCTTTGTTATAATCCAGTTTGGTATTTGTTCTCTTCGAACGATGGTCAAATCGTCTGTTTAGGTGATGAAAAATCTACTGCTTATGAAGCTTGTACATGCGATCTAACAGCAGTCAACTGTTTTCGTAATAATACCTTCCATGACGAATATGCTAACTACGATATGAAATTATGTCAATAAGTATTTATTAAATTTAAATACAAGTAACTCTCGACTGATTTTTGTCCAGTAGTCTTCTATAAGCTATTACTGAATTCTAATTTCAAATCTATCATTAAACAATTGTATGCATGCAATGAAAAAATATATTTTATAATCATGTTCGACGATCTCACTGAAGAACCTAATTTTATAGATCCCAGGATGTGCGTATGAGTGAGGGATGTGTAACAGTTACTACATTCGAGGAGTTTATATTCACTTTGGTTAATGTAACTATAACCACATTTTGTTCATCATGCAAAGCCTTATATATGAAGCGAGAGAAAGAGAGACGAACAATAAAGAAATGACAAACGAAGGTGACGATGTAGGTGTGGGTGTAGGTGCATACTAGATGAATTCATTCAAATATTATTTATGAAAAAGATAGTTGTTTATTTCAATTATCTCTATAAAAAAAACTTCAGCGTATGGGTGAGGGTGTGATAACTGAAAAAGATAATACCCACACCCACACCCACACCCTCAGGATTTATACCTAATACAATGTCATTACAACGTTAAAATATATTTACATCAAAAGAAAAAAAATTATTTACAAGTATTAGTCATAAAATTTCTTGTGATGATTTATTTTTAATTAATACTAATAAAGCCGTTGTCGAGAAAATATTTTCTTCAAACCTTTTACAAATGTTTGTCGATATGATTTTGATGTTAATATTGAAAAATAGAATGATTTTACATTATTAAATGGATAAATTTTATTACTTAAAGCAAATAAGAAAGCCAACAAAAGTAGATTATCATTACTTTTTCCTAAACCGATATTGAATAAAACATATGTTTGTATAATCATCCATTGTAATGAAAATATTGCTGTGATTAAAACTTGAGTTATTATCATAACAATAAATTGATTTCGAAAACGATTTACACCTTGTTTTACCATTCCACCCTATAAACAGAATTATATATCTTATACAATTTGAAAAGATTTGATTGACTTACTACTCGTTGACGACTTTGACGAATATTTCGATATGTAAGTAAAACAAAGATTAATATGACTATGGGTTGTAATATACCATTAAAGAATACATTTAATATACCGTAAATATTTTGTTCATGATATCCACATAAAGAAGGTTCGTTATTACCCAATATAGGTGAATAAATTGAAAAAATACCACTAATACAAATCATGATAAGAATCAGTCGTGGAACCATTTTTAATTGATTAAGTCGATGAGCCCATGATGTAAGAGCACATGTACAAGCATATCGATCAATAATACTTAAAAGTAAAAGATTAATAGATAATTGTGGTAAAAAGCTGTAAAGAAAATAATTCATTTTGCATAAACTAAACGACATATTCCATGGTAGTCCAAGTGCACCATTTTTTTTAACATAAATCGGAAAAATATTAATTGTTAGATGAATAATATCAACAATAGAACTACATAGCATATAAATACAACAATTATTCCAACGCAGATTAGGTTGAAGAAATGTAAAAATATTACCAATGAAACCAATGAAACCAAGTATAAAGCAGATAAGCGTTATGTTCGGAAGAATTTCAGCGTATAGAAAATCGAAAGTATCTAATGAAATTGATTTTTGCATGAGAAAAGTAATGTTAGTAATAGGAATATTGAAATTCATTTTGAAAAATTACTTAGTAATGATGTTCCTACAGAAAGTTCAGTATTAAATAACTTTTTATATTAAATGTAGAATAGGAAATATATTTGAATGACAATAATCAAGACAAGTAGCATTTATGATGACAGAAAAAAGATTACCTGTCATTATGAGAAGAGTCTCTTACTATAGAAGAAAAATAAGTTGGCGATAGGTTAAATATTATAGAAACTCACTGGTGTGTATGATTTTTTTGCTTATTAATCAAAGTCTATAATTATCTCGGTCAGTAATAATTAAAGACTCATCAGAAAAAACGAAAAACTTTCAACAGAGTAAACCTAGTTTATCAATAAATCTTATTAAAATGGACGCTTCTTAATTTCTGTTTATTACTTAATAAATACCTTTGACGTGTCAATTTCTCAATCAAAGGTGTATATCAATTTGAAGATAAATCAGTAATACAAAGTTCTCTACTGATTATAATCAAATAATTAGATATAAGCAAACAAGTAGAGATTTGTATAGATTTCGACTTAGAACTTATCGTGTTCCTGTCATAAGGTTATCTGAGTATGAATACTATAATTTAAAAAAGACTATGTAATTATTAATTAAGCAGGAAACAAACTGTTGAAAAGTGAGTTAATTAAAACATCAAAAAGCAGAAAAAAAGAGTAGATGCTGTTTTTAAAATATCGAAATTATTTCTTTTATAATATTGAACCATTATTTAATATGTTTCTTCCAATTAAAACTTTCACAAAAAGTGTGAGTATTAATGAATACATATATGACGGAGAAAAATAACATGAAAACTATATATGAATAAATCCTAATCCGACTTTCGATAGATTTGAGAAAAGATGAAAAAAGTAGTGAGTTGCATTTTTGCATCTCGTTTTTTCATCACTTGTTTCGTACGTTCAAAATTTGATCACTCGAAGTTTTGTCCACGCGGACAACAAAAGGTTTGAGTTTTCTGACAAACCTGTCTTTTAAAAACTGGATCAGAAAAAAATAGTGAGATAATAGAAAGTTTGATATAGTTACCAAGTTATATTTTTTTGTAATAAGACACAGGTGTTAATATTTATAAGATTTCTGTGGTATGGAATGTAGAAAAAGAAACGAATTTTAGTCTTTGTTTATTAAATACGTGCAAAAGAAGGCAAACAATAAGATCGATCGAAATTAAATAAGAGAAAGTCTTACTAACGAATGGAGATCCTGCAGTGGGTATTATACATGTGCTGAAATTGTTTTCTGTTTATCACACGACTTGTCGGCTTACAAAAGCTGTGGCTTTCTATCGTTCGACTTTGAATACTCTCCATTGATAGGGTAGGAATAATGATGAAGGCTTCTGTTTAATATTAAAAGATTTTCGAGTAAAAACAAATTTATTATATTCACACACTCAGAAAAAACACTTTTCGAAGTTAAAATAATGTCTTTATAAATTCATTTTTGAAAAATGTAGAATGAAAGTTCTTTTAGTTCAAAACGACCAAATGCTGAAGATAATGATAATAAGCGCTGCAGTTGAGAAAGATTGGTTGTATTTGATACCTGAAATCAGGAGAGAGAGAAAACGTAAACTAATGTGAAAACGTTTAGGAAAAAAAAGAATTTCTCACCTAAAGATCGGTATGCTACGGTATTAGATGATGTATTACTGGTTCCGACGCCAGTACTAGAAAGTACAGTTGAAGTGGTTATTGGTGTTCGTGTCGATGATAGTAAACTAGTAATGATAGAACTCGAAGAACTACTTGTCGATCCTATTCGTGTTGTAGACGCTCTTGTTGAACTAGATGACACGGTATTACTACTTGAACTGGTTCCTGTAGATACCGATAACATTGGTGACGTTGATTCATTATAAGTCAATAGATAAGAAGGTATGTTCATACCTTGTGTACATGTAGCAAAATCAGGATTACAGTTGTTCGTTGTACACAAACAAAATCCCCCATAATATTATTCGGAGCTAACATACCAGAATGTCGCAATACTTGTGGAAGTTTGATATAGATAAACATCAGAGCTACTGTTATCACTTAATGCTGCATTTTCAATCATCGCCTCCATCAGAAATTCATATGCACCTTCAATCATGCCCATTTGTTGAAAACTGCCCTGTATTGGATCGTACCAAACACCACATATGAGAGTATAATTAGGGCTACAGGAGGAACATTTATAAAAATCTGCATCACCAAAATTCATGAACCAGTTACAGCCCATATACATTGGAGGGATGATATTCAGCGCAGCCGACAAATTGACATACGCATCTTGACAGGTTATTATATTAGATAATGTTGGTTGAAGAACAGGCATTGATGGTGGAGGCGAAGAACGTGCTTGATTGACCGATGCTTGACAACTTGAATACGTATCACTACAAAAATCTGTGGAACACATGCACAATTGTATCGATGTTGCATTCTGATAGCAATATGGAGTGCAGTTGCCATAGCCAATATCCATCGTTGTTGAAAAGCCACAATGATTGATAGCAAAATTACGATACTGATTCCAATAAATTATATTAGATCGGCTCGTGACCGTTTGAGTTAAATTATGCTGAAGTGAAGTGGTAACTATAATAAGACAATAATAGGCCTGTGTTGAATTTCCAGGATTTTGATAAGTTATTGTACCATTATTATACAATGTATCTGTTTGCAGCGAGCAGGTTAAGTTTGATGAAACATAATTGAAAATTGTGGACGCTGACCCAGTTAAGAATGGCGAAGTATACGGAAGAAAAACTACGCCGCTGAAAACTATCAATAGCAGAATATGCATTACTTCGAAGCTTTCAATAGGATTGAAAATATTTTTTTACATCTCTATCTTATATATGTGACTTCAAATCATTGCAATGATTCGTCGAATCAGTAAGTTGGAAAAAACTTGTATTATTTTTTTAATGCGTCCTTCAATGCTTCTCTGAATCGACGAAACTCGTCGCTGAGTTACTTACGTTTTCATAGAACAAAATGATGTAAGTGGATGAAAGCGTGACACATCACTTCTTTCGCCGATTCCACAAAATGGTTATTTTAATTCACTGTGTTTTAAACAGTGGAACAATTCAGAATCAATTAGTCATACCTCACGTCTTGTCGTTTTCTTTTGCTTTCTGTGATGAAGCACGACTACTTGAAAAATGTTGACGAAACAAACAGTAATTCATAACAGTAGACTGAGAGTGTGAATGTGAATATGAGTGCCGACGTAGATCATATTACATGTGAATCACGTAGGGGCACTTGCATCACCCACACCTTCTTTTTGATGAAAATCTTTTTAAAAATGATGAATATCGTTCAGAAATATATATTAATCTTTTGTATTTTATGTTGCAATTATTATTATTTAAAATTTATGACTCCTAAATGTCTCTACAAGAGATTTTTATTGAATAGATGTAATGATACTAATAATAAATAGCAAAATAAAAAGGAATAGTACAATTGCTTTTTTCCAGAGTAATTTAAATAACATTTTATCTTGATCATTTTCGGCAGTTGTTGTTAAATTTTGTTTTGTTTGATGTTCTAATGGTAATAATTGATCTGTGGAAACAGTATTAAATGTCGAATAATTTTCAGAAGATATAATTATTGTATCCAAAGAAATATGATCAAGTGCAGTTTTTGAAAGGGCATCAAAATCAAACCACCATGTAAATATATATAACGTTACACAAATAATTGTTTGCGTAATAATCATTGCTAACCAGAAACCATAGATATCCATATGGATAACAAACATGAATATGAAAACCAATGGTAAACCCAATATGTAAAAACAAATGAATAAAAAAATTGTTACTTTCTTTAGCATTCCACTAGAATACATTCATAAAATAAATATATATATAAAAGTAATTGCTCAACGAAATAGTCAGTATATAGATCTTTTTTCATTGATGATACGCCTATTCACATAAACATACATCTTATGCTATAGCAAAATTTTATTGCGAAAAGTCAAACTTTAGTATTCCTTAGGGCTATTCAACTATGAAAGTATTTCGAGGAAGATGCATGCTGATTTTCGGACAATAATTACATCAAAACTAAGAAATACCATGGGTGTTTATTAATCGAAACTAGAAATTAAGCTCGATCAAATTTTTCCATAATCAATAAACAAGAACAAAATCACATTAATATTTACCATGCTTTTATTATTGCAAGATGTACATTATTCAATCCATCCATCAAGTTATAAAGACTAGCCCATAAGAGAATACTTCTGGCGAGAGAAATCGTGTCTGCACTTGCTTCGAAGATATATGGTAACCACCAATAGATAATGGCAAGTAAAATCATGTTTATCCCTGATAAAATTATGGCTAATGTATAGGTAACATTCTTAGCATTGATTGCTTCTTTTGGTTTGTTGGCACCAAGATTTTGTCCAATAAAAATAGTTCCTGACTCACCGACTGCCATCATAGTTAGAGATAAAAAAGATATGACTTGCACAACGATTGCTTGTGCCGAAAGTGAACGAGGAGTAAGAGAAGCCGCAAAAATATTGCCGAGTTGAAATGACCAGGTTGTAATTCTACAAAGACAAGAATCTATCAGATGTTTCTTATTAATCACAGAAATGATCGTTGTCTAAGATGTCAAGATCTTATTACAAATTAGACTTTACATTTGAAAAAATTACTTCTCGTCGAGCACGCTTTATCGATAGCGTGTTATTGTTATGATTGATGATTCTATGACAAAAATATAATGTTCATAATGTTCTTGTTGTTAATCCGAATCAGTTTAAACAAACATTATTGATGAAAAGTACTTTTTATACTATCACTAGTTCTCAAATCGTATGGTGATCATTTTGGATATTATTCAAATTTTTCTAATCCTTTACTGCAAATTAAATTCAATATTCAATCACTGTTACTCCAACCAATATATATATGTGATCGTCTATTAACTCTAACGATATTTATTAATATCTATGACATTACTTCATAGTATAAGTAATGACCTCTTTGCCTAATCTTTGAAATGAACTGATTACTTGATTGTATCTAGAAACTACTTGCATAAATTTTGAGTTGCTACACTGCTTTGAAAAACATTAGTGCCTTCATGGTGAGACTCGAGGGTTTAATTTCATTCACCCTAATCTTCTAACAGTATTCAACAGCTAAAATGCTTGTAAGATACCGAAACAAAAAAATCGATGTTTAATGCAGTTGATTCCTTGCAAAAATAAGATTATTTTTAACTAAAACTATTACTGAATATTCTCAAATCTATCTAATCTATGTGAAAATCGAATTTTGTTTTAAAATTCACTCATACTACTTTATAAGAACCGATGTTCAAAGATCACAGAGACTGTCAAACGATTGCATTGTATTTCAGATGATATGTCTAACAGTACGTTAAAGAATAAACTATTTTTCTCATTCTTGTAGTATAAAAGAGATCAGAAAACTTACATAGTTGATAGTACACCTGGAAGAGCCAACTTCAAATAAATATTCCATTCCTGAAGACAAGCATGAGTAATTGGATGCCATGTTTCCTCATAGAAAAATGACATGCGAATATAGATAATAACACCGATCACAATAGTTAAGTATGATAAAATAATTGATAATGGTGATGTATAAATATTGATGTTAGTATGGTAAAGACAAATATAATGTGAAATGATATTGACAACATTCCCGATAAGATAAATAACTACCGTTGGGAAAATCCTTCCACTGCTTGTTATGTATGATCGTAGTAAAAGTGCAACAGCATCTAACGGTACGAGAAGTAAATAACAACGAAGAATATTATCAATTAATGTAACAGTATCCTGATTCTTTACAAACAAACTGAGAATATATTTCTAAAAAAAAAGCATATGAATTATATTCTAAAAACAAATGATTTTGTCATAATTTATACTTAACAAAATAACTAATCAGTACTTTTCGAATAAAAAATTCTAATATAGTTGTATACAGCTTCGCTTTTCACTATTTTATATGTTAATAGTTTTTTATATTGATATATATATATATTATTAATAATAAATTATATATTACATATTAATATATCACTATTTTTCTCTCTTCTATAGTTTACCATAAAAATATGTTCACCTAATTTTTACCTCTCTAGTATACAAGAACTGAAATTTACTACTTTTTATGAGATACGACTTGACAGGAGCTTTGAAATGTTTAAAAGGTAAAAATTTGCACTTAACCAGTTTCCACCGCACACATATGATAGGCATAGTATGAAAGCTATTATCGATGGTATTGCGACTAATTAACCAAAAAAAAATAAAATGGTTAGTTAACGAGAACAGCAAATTGTAGTACAGTAATAAGATAGATTTTTTGTGAATGAGACAGACTATCAACTATATGTAATATTAGATGATATTCTTAGCTACTTCTTTATTGTCAGGAGCACCAGCAGTAGTGATGTCGTGTTTGACATTTTAAACACGCAAGGAATTGTGCTAACAGCGTTTTAGTTTAATATACAATATCATACTATTCTTGTCTTCTTGATATTTTCAAGAGTTCTTAACGTGTTTCATGCAAGTAAAGATTATAATAAAACTTCAAAGTTATATTGTAAACGAACGCAATACTGATTCGAAGATGAAGATGTTTATTATGATTTCTAAAGTAAATTAACGATGATAATCAATAACACTTACCATGTTTAATAGAATTGCCCAAATAATAAAACAAACATAACCAGCAATTATTATGCTACGCTGCACTATAATGCCCATTTTACGTTTATTTCCACCATAACATTGTGGCAAAAGAGTCTCACTACCATAATTGATACCACTCATCACTGTATTGCTTACTAGAGTATAAATTGTAAGTGCCAGTGCACTAGCATTGAACTCTGCTTCACCTAAACGACTCATAAAAATCAATGACACAGTCGATAATGACCATATGGATAACATATAGGCAAATATCAGCATTGCAGTCATTTTGCTTAGTTCTTGCGCATCATGTCGAAAACCCAACGGATAGAATTTTCGAAGATGAGTAGGCCGTTCTTTCGTTGAAGTACTATCGTCGTCCATTATGAAAAGAGCCGTAAAATACGAAAAGAATGACGATAGTGATGCAATTAAGTACAATAATTGTTTGACTGCAAAAATCGAAGTATGATTGCGCTGTTGAAAGAAAAAATCTAAAATAATAAATATGAGATAATGGGTGGGTGTGAAGTTCAGGACGAGGAAAGACACAAGGCTCATATCCAACTTCTGCTAATCGTGTTTTCGCGCTATTGCACATGATTATTTTTACTGAAATAGACAAATGGCGAATGACAAGAAAGATAGAATAACAACAATTATGTCGGATAGAAATGATACATCTCAAATAGATTCAATACCAAAATTTGTGTTGAATTCACATTTCAATAAAATATTCTTCTCAGGTATTATTGAGCGAGAATTTCTTTGGCTACTAATAATTTGTTCATCCATCAATTCGGTAAATTGAGTTGCGTTATATTTCTGATATATTTCGTAGTGGATCAAAATAAAAAAATAGATCTGTTGATTTTTTGCTTTGTTCAAGTTTTCGTTGTGTAATCTGTGACGAACGAAAAATACTGATGCCTGTTTGACGATCATAACTATCAAATGATGAAACAAGTCGTTTTCCTCCACCAGTTAGTAAATCAATAATAAATTGAGGCATATTAAAACCAGCTGTAGATCCTCGAAGTAATTTTTCAAGTTCAACAGCAAAATGGAGGGAAGTTCGAAATTCTTTAGCACCAGAAACCATATCATGTAAATAAACATAATATGGTTGTATATTTATATACGATAAATATTTAATTAATTCATACATTGTTTCAATATTATCATTAATACCACGTAATAAAACACTTTAATTACGAACATGAATATTAGCTTTATATAATTTTTCGGCAGCATTTTTCGTTATATAAGTTATTTCATTTGGATGATTAATATGCGTATGAATAGCAATCGATTTAAATTGATCACGAGCTAAATTATTTAACTGAACTAAACTTTGAAACCATGAATTATCACTAAAAATTTTCATTGGCATAACTGATAAGCCTTTGGTTGCGAATCGAATTCTTCTTATATGTTCAATAGATAATAAACGTTTACCTAATTCAAAAAGAGTATGTGCAGGAAGCATATATGTATCACCACCACTGATAACAACGTCCTCAATCTCTTCATGTTTCTCAATATAATCATAAATTTTTTCATAACGTGATTTTCCAGGAATAAATTTTTTTTTATTAACACTTTCAGTATTTTTACCAATGGAATAACTACGAGTACAAAATCGACAATAAACTGGACATATTGAAGTAGTTAAGAAAAGAACTTTATCATTATATCGATGTATAAGACCATCGACAGGTGAATCAGTTTGTTCATTTAATGAATCTAATTTTAATAATGGATGATCACTTTCTATTGTACTCTTAACTGGTGGAAATTGTTTTCGTATCGGACAATTGTATGGATCATTCCAATTAATCAACGATATTATATATGGCGTTATTCTAATTGACATTGTTGATAAAGATTGGGATCGATAGACATCAGACCAAAATTCAGAAAGATTATCAGGTATATTCATAATTGTATTATTATTTAATGTATTTTTTGATTGCCAGTTATAATTGATAAAATCAGATTCGCTGATTGTCTTATATATTGATGTTTTAGTCCAGAATGAATTAGGAGATAAACGAGAATAATTAAAGCGAGATAACATCTTCGATAACAAAATTTGTTCAATTAATTATATAACTAATATTGCTAAAATTGTAATTGTAATATCTATATTCTGTGAAAAATATAAAATATAGAAACTAAGAAAAGTAGAATAATAGACACCGTA